GGGAAAGAATGTTCTGCCATTCTTAACTGGCCTTCTTACTGCTGGGTCCTCTCAGGGAGGCTGCTTTAGTAAGGCTTGTATTTGGTTCTGGGAGGAGCCTAATGTGTCCTCCTGTTAATAATGCTTTATTAACAGCTAATATGCACAAGTATATCTCAGCAGCTTTGGAGACTTGAGAACCTACCAGTTTGTGTTGCAGAAGAGGACTGCTTGTGATATTTGTATAGGGATGTGAGCAAGAGTTTCTGCAGAGCAAACTTGGGAATCCAGCAAAGAATTGATTATAGCAAGCCACAATTGCATCTTGAGGTTGTTTTGGAAGGTGAGGTCTAGCTGTGACCGTTTGAAACTTTTTCTATGACCAGGAAGCGATGAGATTTGAAGTGAGTCTGTGCCATCTCCAAAGGATGGGTGAAAGATGTCTCATTTAAACCTTTTGGGTAACACATAGTGATTGTAAGAAGGAGGGACTTCTGCTGTTGCAATTTACTTTTCTTCCAGGCCTAAAGTTGAGTCTCTGCCCTTCTAGAAAGGCCAGCTGGTTTATTGTGCTCAGTGTAAGACTTGTTGTGAGACAAACGGGAGCAGGGTGTTGGATAAACTCGCTGCTCTAGTTCTCAGCCCTGCCAATACTTATTTTGAGAGATGTTTCAAGACTGTTGCAGGCCTGATATTCCAGGCCTCCCTGACTGTGTTCCAAGTAAAATTAATAATAGTGGCAACTGAAAGTTGTTGTTGTTTTTTAAACTCTATGAAACAAGAAAGTTGCTCCAGAGGCAGGAAGATCTGGTGCTGCTGTTACTGCTCAGAAACAGAACAGGGTCCCCTGGAGATGGCATAGGTTGAGCAGAAAGGAGGCTGAGAGAAGGACTTTAGATGTCTACTTCTAAAAGTGTATTTAGGGTAGGGGTGCTTTTTCTAAATCTGACCTGCAGACTGCAGTCTTTATATCTGGTGAAGACTCAGAGTGGCAGCTGTCTCCTTCTAGAGGTGACAGTAGCCCTTCAGTCTTTGGTTCTGTCAGAGATGATCAGCATTAATGTGTCTAGTAGCCAGAGAATAGTTGTGCTGGTAGTTTAGATGGGGAGACCTAGCAGTCAGAGGAAGACAGAGCACACTACTGCTGCTACTTGTATGCCTATTCCCATTCTTTCCAAACTGTGTCAGGTGCTTGAGCAAATGTACATGTGACTGCTTGTTTTTGAGTCATCTTTGCCCTGGGTGGTACTTGATTAGGCTTGCTTTTGACATGGCTCTTATGTTTGCATCTGTAACTATTTGGACTGCAACTCTGTTGTAACAGCCAGACACATACGAAATAACCTTCTCTTGCGTCACCAAGATAAGTACCAGTAGAATCCTTTTGCTAGTCTGTAGTACTTGAATTGTAGAACACTTGTGGTGGCTTAACTTCTGTGCTTTGCTCTCATAGAACTGATATCTCTGATGCTCAAGCTTGCAGAAATGCACAAACTGTGCCTGTCCTTGCACATTTTGTGAGCTATTCTTGATTCACGGGTCTAGATATGATGCTTACAAAAGCGTAGTTGGATCTCATGCTGTTGAAATAACTGCTTTGTGATTTTAAGCATAAGAACACGGAGGGCATTTGTTTTATCCAAGCATAGCTTCTCTTTACAAAGTGTTCCCCCCTTTCC